TTCTGTGTCCATAACTGTGTCTACTGACAAATACTCTGTTATTTCTTCTGCTACTTCGCTTAATATATCTGACTTTATTTTATTAACGCTCTAATTTTTTGGTGCAAGAATCGCCATTTCACATAAACATTTGTCTTCATGCATGTTGTTCGCTAAATCTGAATAAACGCTCGCAATTAATTCACAATGACTCTGTATTAAATTACAAAAATCTCTCGCCAATTTAACGCAGCCCTCAGCATCCCTTTCCAACCGCCCATCGCCAGTTTTTAATAGAGAGTCAGCGTAGTTTCCAGCATTGATATAATTATACAAATGCACTCTCATATTCATAGTTAAACTGAATTTTGTCACCTTGTTCCATAAAATAGACGACATGAGGCATGCTTTAATTTCATCTGCTGGTGTGCCCTTTTGAATGACAGGTAAACTGGGCGAAAGTCACCAGCCAGTAAAATCACCATACCTCCCATTATGTCAAAATTTTGCCATTCAATTGAATACATGAAGCACTGCACCTCTCCGAAATTTTTTACCTTTGTTAATTACATACATTAATTGTTCTACTTTTAATCTAAATACTCTAGCAACTAAATCGTGTCTGTCAGTACTTTTTTGGCCCGGCATTAGCTCCTCAGTTATTTCTTTCCATGTGGGATTGCAAGTAAAAGTAAAAAAAAAGATCAGGTCTTCCGTAAGTTTGTATATAGGCGAATGCGTCTTGTGTGTACTCATGTAGGTACCGGAGACTGTTAACGAATTATGAGGGCAGAATTACAATTTTACCTCAATCTCTGGGGTTTACATTGGCCTCGCTACAAACTGCATCTTGTAAATGTATATAATACTCAACGCGCAGCTTTTTTGATTTAAAGATATATAACGGAGACGTTCACTTTCTACCTTCACATACAAGTCTACCAAAATTTTATTAAATAATAGTCTACACCGGGCTAAGAGGTTAAAATCATTTTCTCGCAACATAATATGATACGCATAAGAATCCATACATGATACTTTTTTGTTCGGAGTAGGCTCCTTTGTGACCGGGTTAAGGAAGCGAATTTGAAAATGATAACCCTCTTGTCCTTTGCAATAAATCAATGGGTATTGCAGAGCGTCATAAAATTTGTGTGTATCGGCTACCCGTTGCAACATATCATCACGTGCTCGCTAGACAATGTCTCATGAAGAAAATTGATCACCACTAATTACGTCTGCTATTTCGTTTATAAAAAGGTGTCTGCTATTTCGTTTATAAAATCATTTTTATTTGAATGTAGATTATAAACAATACTTATTGAAATTCAATTTTTTCATTTACCACTTGTTCGCAAAAAACCTCTGTCCTGTGAAGAACCAGCAAGAAACCCAGCGGGACTATTTTTTTTCAAATTATAGCTTATAATCATGTTTACAATTAACAACACAAGATAAATTAGAAATAGCTTGGTAGCGATCACCCTTCCGAGGGGTTATTATCATCCATAAATTCCTTAATATTATAATAACCCTTTTTTATAGAAACTTATTTTAATAAATTTTTTGAACTTTGCGTATGACAAATTTTGTATATTTTCTGGGATTTTGTTGCAAAAGCGTATACATCGCTCAAAGAATGTATTAGTGATTCGGTGGAGTCGAGTAACCGGTACTACTTGCTACACTAAGCTTGTGTCTTTTCCTAGTATTTACAGAATGAATATTACTTATTTTAGCAAAACTACGTTTATTCTTGTGTACGTACATTACATTTTCATAAATATATTGAGAGGCCAGAAAGAAGGACAAACAAACAAACACACTTTCGCATTTATAATATTAGTATGGATTTTTAGGTTGTTATGAAGAAGCCGCTGCTGCCTATCTCCTAATTTGTTTCCCTCTTTCGCCTCTTACGATACCCATACGTAACACTCATATGTTTACTCATAGGCAACAATGCACCGAACTACCGGCACTTCGAACCGGCTCACTGCAGTAGGGATACTAATTTAGACGTATTTTTAGGCAAGATAAAACCTAGACTTTATATATTTTTTATAAATAAACTTCCAAATCTAAGTATTTTACAATATGAATTTCTTCAAGTGAGGATAATATGTTTTGTCACGTTTTGTAAAAGAAAAGTCCAACAGTCAAATATTACAACTTAAGCAGTTCTTCTGAATTTAGCTTTATTGCATACTTCGTCAGAACCCGAATTAAATTTAACACGCTCGATTTGTGGAGAAAGGAAAAATTTATTCATGAAAATTGTTTTCCATGCCATTCCCCCAAACAAAAGTAAATTTTTCTTGCATTCATTCCGACCTACATTTCATTTTAAAAATAAATTTAACTGAAATTTTTTCCATTTGTTTTAACGAAATATTCCCTAAAAAATGATAACAATTTTTAAAAATCTCCTATCACGGCTTTGTTCGTGTGTACTTTAATTTAGGTTCATCAATAAACTGAAATTAGTTATTTCAATATTGCAGACACTTAAATTTTAGTATCTTTTTTTACTTCCTAATTTACACAACTCGTTTATGATTATATTCTATTTTAAAACACTGAAACAAAAAATGTAACTTTCGTATTTATCAAGGAAGATTTATAGGAGGCGGCAAGCTTTTATTTGTTCCAAAGGAGTACAGGATGAAAAATTGAATCTTTTTGTTATCGTTGTTGTTTTTATTCCCTTTAAAAAAAGGATTTTTACATAACAATGGATAACGTAATAGGATCATTTGTAGCAAACGTTTAACTTTTAATAAAGTACGTAGTAATTTGTATAAAGCGTTCAAATTAAGGAGCTAAACAAAAGCTTGAAACAAAACTATAATCACCACACATTTTTTGTTCATCCAGTTAACGTTATCATTTCATGATAATTATATCCTGCCTACCAAGAAACATTATTAAATGCTATTCAAATTACATTGCTTATAACTTGAATAATTATTGCATAAAATGATTAAATGAATCTGAATGAATCCGCGGACTACACCATAGATATCTCACTTTCCGGCTAGTCCCAAAACAAACATTTGTGGTTTATTTACAATTACAATATTAGTATAATGTGCTAGATTGATCTTAGCTCTTGTCCTATTTAAATATTAGCCGACTAAGGTGCAAACTGTTATAAATTGAACAAAAGTCTTTCCTTAATCAAAAAAGTACAAAGTTACCCGAATTTATACACTTTTCTCAGCTACATAAATAACAAATAATAAATATTATATACTTTTAGTCACGTATATTAAATTACTACTGATACACCCTCGCTTCGCTAAGCGCACAATAACATTTTACTCTGGAACCTATTAATTTTTTTGATGGAAATATCGTAAAATCCGTTCTTAGTGAGTGTCTACATTGCGGAATTAGTAATTGTACTAAATTCCAAGTCATTTTGGTGTATAGTTTTAGAAATCTCGTGATCAGTCAGTCAGTGATATTTCGTTTACATATACGTAAGCGAAGATCATATTCAGAATCACTCATGATGAGTGGCGCAAATATGCGTGCGTTAAAACATTAAATAGAAGAAAATTCAATAAACCTATAAACAAAAAGGTAGCCTCATTACCAATGATACGACGCTTCACAAGAGTAAAACCTCGATCTAACTAATATTTTATGGACCGACACGGCCAATTCTTATATACGACCGTTCTCGGGTGTGTATCTTCAGGAATACCTGTAACAAACACTAGTAACCACCACTTCATCCGCTCGCCTATTCTGACATGAATGGGTACACTGTCCAAATCTTTAGACCCTTACACATACACACACGATTAGGTTTGACCTCGTGAAAACTAATACAAGCTAAGGTATCCTTTGGACCAGCCATCATCTCATACTTTCTCATATGTGCCGCCGGCTCTAGTTACCTGTCATGTCAAACGAAGACACCTAACTCAGTGTGCGACAGCGTCCCTTTGACCAGTCATCATCTCATATGAGAACGTGGACCGGAAAACTGGCTCTCTCCACTAATTTTACACAGACACATAGCTTTTTTATAACTGGCACGCCACTATTAGCATTGATAGAAGATGCTTCCTACTTCCCTTTGATCACGCATGGACCGGACGGCACCTTTCTTTCAAGCCATCACATACAGCTGTACGCGAGTATGTCCCTACGACCAACCGCTCGGATATGGCCTGGACGATACTGTTATATGTATTCTGTTGGACCAACCTTACTGGATCAGACGGGTGCGTCCCTTCGACTACGAATGGACTGGACGGCACTGTCTTTTAGACCAGTGTAACTCCACAATTCATAAGCCTTGACCGGACAAATGTGTCCCTTCAACCAGCTGCGTGGTATGGCTCGTCACGACACTGTCCCTTCCCCCAGCTTCACACAAATCTTATTAAAAAATAGTAGGGTCCTTTCAACAAGCCGCACACGGAATGGCCCGCTACGACATTGTTCCATCGACCGGTTTCACACAAATTTAACCCTCAACATCAAACATTCATGAGCCTGGACCGAACGGATGTGTCCTTTCGCCCAGCCGTGCGTGGTATCGGTACTTCATTGTCTCATCGGCCAGCTTCACAAATACTTTCTCTGATATTAAATCGGCAATATATCGACTATAACGAAATATAAAATCGACCGCGACTTTCCCGCATAGCCCTAAGCAAACAGAATCGGGCTGCCGTGAGGGCTCTGAACCCAAGGATGGTGACCAATTTAGAAGCCAGCCGGGACCTTTGTGAGATGGACTCAATCATTTTTGGCGCCGCACTGGCAGTCTGCCGTATTATAGGCGCCAAACTTTCCACGGCTGAACGCACTCCTGGACAAAGTAGCGCTACCCAGCGTGGATAATAAGAATTGAATAACGTATCGCAAAGACTAGGGCTCTCATCGACAGACTGATATGCTTCAGGTCAGGCAATAACAGTTCAAGGATTGTGCGCACCGTCAGGATGGCTGGATATGGATGGTTTGTTGGGAAAAATGTTAGTTTATCTCAGTAAGATATAATGCAAAAACTGACGGAGCGCACAGACGACCTGAAGCAGAGAATCACTGCTCGTGGAAAGTGGATTCGGCAATATACCGAGAGGTTGACAAGGTTCAATAAGAATCGTCTCTACCAGGGTGATCAGAAGAGGCTCCATAAATCATTGGATCGATCAATGGTAAGTGAAAAGGACCCAGTACCGAATAAGGCCGATACTGTTGCATTCTGGCGCGGCCTGTGGTCAGAGCCCGTAAACCAGCGAGGGCCCTTGGACGGAAGTTTTAGCGATTCAGTGTGTGAGTATTACGCCCATGGATCCCGTCGTCATAATGCCGGATGACGTAGCTGAGGCGGTTCGTAGAGCCCCGAACTGAAAAATTCGGGGACTCGACGGGTCACTACTGGCTGAAGGAGTTCTTGGTATATCACGCTGTGCTCGCCCGACAGTTTCATGAGGCTCTCAACCAGAAATCACTCCTTAGCCTCTTCACTACTGGGATCACTCATTTGGTTCCTAAAGACCAGGTTGCCACAGACCCGGGCAAATACAGCCCCAATACCGACAACAGCCAAAAGCCAAATACCGACAATATACAAGACACTAACATCCATTTTGAGCGCGGGAATCACTCGTCACCTGGACTTCAATCAGGTGATGTCGTGCGCTCAAAATCGATGTCGGAGTGGCGGTCGGGGAACCAAGGAACCAGTCCTCATTGACGCGGTCATTGGTAAAGTGGTGAAAGGCAACCATCGGAACTTCTCCACTGCCTGTATAGACTACAGAAAGGCATTCGATTTGGTTCCCCATACATGGCTAAAGAGGTAAGGAATGATTGAATGGCGGCTGCGGAAAACCGCATAAGGATAAGAAGGGATAACTTCCAGGGCAATTATATGAGACCAATCTGATTCTACACCTTTTTGAACCCTCTCAGTACTTTACTGGAGAGTTTCGGGAGGGGATTTCAGCCTCGAAAAGGAGGTACAGAAGTGACCCACCTTTTCTATGTGGATGATCTCAAATTATACCTTTCCAATCGCTCCCATCTTGTGGAATTGCTAAATATCACTTTTGAATGTAACAATTCTATTACAATGGAGCTGGAAACGGACGTGAACGGACGGAACGTGCGGTCCTCCATGTTAAAAGAGGAAGGTTTGCTAACTTTGAGGGCATAGACTTATCTATGCCGTCAACTTAAGGACCCTTTCCGAGGCTGAAACATACCAATACCTGGGTATGTCACAGAACATCGGTATCGATGAGGCTGATATGAAACAGTCTGTTTGCGACGTGTTTTATGCACGCTTGACCAAAGTGCTTAACAGACCTTTATCCGGTGTGAATAAGACACTCATATAGCATATTATAACTGTGGGGCCATGCCTGTACTCACGTATACCTTTAGCATACTAAGAAAGAAAGAAAGAAGAAAGAAAAAACTTTATTTGAAATCACAAAGATAAACAAAAAACTCGAAATATTACAATAAAAAATAAAATGGATTTTTGTGAAGTCAAATTAGGTCCCTATTTCGGCTAACTGCTGCTGTACTAAATGACAGCAGCGCTGATTTTTAAATAGAGCCCAATATTCACTTCACGGGCGGTCATACATTACTAAAAGCTAAAAATAAAAAAATAAAAAAACAACCATTCTGAGAAGTGAGTGGGAAAGTATTCAGTATAAAAGAGGTATTATTTGGAACTAATAACACACTGTATAAGTGAACTGTACACTTGCATATCACATACATATCTATACATCATACACATTTAAATGTACGTACATATATTTATATATTATACATTATAAAGTACTCAACAGCTCAACATCATATAGTATATTATCTAATCTTAATAAATTAAAAAAAAACTGAATTTAATTGTAATGACTTTACGATTTAACAACCATAAACAAAAAGAAATAAAACAGTGAGTAAAATGAAAAATTAGTGACGGAATTAAAAAAAAAACAGTTAATCTTATCCATCAATTTTTCCAGCGTTGATTAGAGGACCTCTTTATATTGTGCAAGTAAAACAAAAAAAAATTAAAGTGAAAAAAAAAATTATTTTAAAATTATGAGGGATTATGGTCTTGTTTTAAAATTACTGATAGTTTTTTATTAATGTCCCTATAGTTTTTAAAGCACGCATTGGTGGAGGCATATCGTTCCAGCAGCGAGAAGCTGCGTATCTGAAGGACCCTCTAAATGCCATTGTTCTATGTTTTGGAATAACAAAGACGTTAGAACATTTACCTTTCGGATATTTTGACTGTTCGCTAACCCACACTAATTTGTCATATAAGTAACGAAGTGTTTTTGAAGAAATTATTCCAAATAATAAGGTAGCAAGGTGTAACCTTCGACGCGATGACATTTTTAATAGGCCTGCATTATTAAGAAAAGGAGTAACATGCGTACGTGGTGGTATATGAAAGCAGAACCTCGCACATGCATTTTGTACACGCTTTATAAGTCTCTGAGTCCTACTTAATAGACATGGTCCAAACACCACGTCACAGTAATTTAATTTGGACAAAATGAAAGACTCGCATAATCTTATCCTTGTTTTCTCTGTTAGAAATGGCCTGATTTTATATAAGATTTTTAATCTATAAAAACAGTTTCGTACACTTTCTGTGACATGTGCTTCGAAACGCAGATGGTTATCAAGCTTTAGGCCAAGGTTTCTAGCCTCGGAAATTTGATCAATTTGATTGTTTCCAAATTTTAAGACTATTGGGACATTTACAAGTTTAGAAATCATTTTTTTGACCCTATTAACATAAACTTTGATTTATCAGGATTTAGAACCAATGAATTTAATTTTGACCAAGCAGAAATAGCCTCTAAATCGTAATTTATTTTATTAATAGCTTGAAGAAGGCCCATTGGCGATGTTATAAATGAAAAGTACATTTGCAGGTCATCAGCATATAGGTGATAGTGACAGTGATTAATGTTCTTAACGATATCTGCAGAATATAGCGTGTAAAGAACAGGCCCAAGTACCGAGCCCTGTGGGACGCCTCGTGTAACATTCTGGTGGGCTGATTGAATCCTAGTACCGTCACTTTTAATGATTTCTACACATTGTTGCCTTCCCGTGAGATAACTGTCAAACCATTTGACTGCATTAGCATCAAAGCCATAGAATGCCAACTTAGCCAGGAGTAATGACTGATCAATCGAATCAACTCGGGAGAAGTCTAAGAGCACTAAAATTGAGCACATACCTCCATCTTGAGCCGCAAGTAAGTTATCGGTTACCTCAAGCAAAGCTGTAGTAGTGCTGTGGCCCTTGCGAAAACCAGAGTGCATAACAGGCAGTACGCTATTAATTTCAAGATAATCTGTCATCTGCTTGAAAACTACTTTTTCTAGTATTTTGGATATGCAGGGCAATATACTAATAGGTCGTAGGTCTTGAATCGAAAGAGGGTTGATCTTCTTTCACTGGATCGATTTATTAATGATAGTAGTTATTGTCGTTAATGATTGGGGTAGAGTCATTAAAAGCATCTGTAGGGAGATATTGTCTATACCTACGGCATTGGATTTTAGTTCTTTAATAGTTTTTAATATTGATTTTTCTGCTACTGTAGACAAAGTTAAATTATTAAAATTGTGTCTATTTTGTTTATAGTAATCAATATGAGTAATTGGTACAGTGTCATCCTCAGGTATATTTAAAAAATGTCTATTTATCAAATCAGGGTCATTGAACTGATGAGGAAGTTCCTCAGCCTTATTTTTGAGATTTACTACGTTTTTCAAATGTTTCCATATAGTCTTGGAATCCTTACTACTTTTATTTATGTACTGTTCGAAATATGCTTATTTTTTCATTTATCATGGCTTCTGTTACTATCAGCTTCATGTTTTTATAACAATTTTTAAATGTGTTATTTTTTGATTTTTTTGTATTTAGCATGGTAGTCGTCGCGAATTTTGATTATTTTGCGTATTGAATCAGTAATCCAAGGGTGAGGGGGTGATTTGAAATGAGTGGTTTTAAGTGGAGCATGCAAATCGAACAGAATGTTTGTAGCAGAACAAAAATAAGTAAACATGTCATTGACGTCATTAAAATTTGTACAAAGTGACCAATTTATGCTTTCTTAATCACGAATAAATAATTCTGTAATAATATTATTTAGTGGCCTATATGTTATATAACGACGACTAAGTTTTTCTTTTTTATATTAAATTCAGTAGAAACAATGGCATCGCTTCTCAAATCGGGCAAGTATTTGACTATGGTGTTTCGTACTCGAGCATCTGAATAGATCAAATCTAGCAGTGTTTCGCTGTGACTAGTGAAGTGTGTCGGAGTATTAACAACTTGTTTTAAGCTATGGCATTCTAAGAATTGGTATAGCAATATAGTCTTGTTGTTTCCACTATCCATAATATTAATATTGAAATCACCAACCAAGTTAACCTTATCCGCGTTGGCAAAAGTGGAAACTGATTTAGCCAACGCACCCAATAAAATATTAATATCTAGCCAAGGGGGTCTATATGCGGTGCCAATGATAAGGTTGACTTCTGAAGTATTCATTTTTATCCACATCTGTTCTACAGAGGGAGTAGAAGGATTTGGACAAATTTTAAATGCCAAATTTTTATGTATATAAAAGCCTACTCCTCCGCCTCTTCCTCTTTTAATTTGCTGAGGCCTAGGATTATGTTAAAGGCGAAAGCTCCCATACTGTATATTCATACAGTATGGGAGCTTTCGCCTCTTCTCCAGCCCTAAGCCATGTCTCATTAATGGCCATAATGTCTGGCTTTAGATCTTTCATGGCCACAATGAATTCCTCACGCCTAGAACCCAAGGAGGCTGCGTTTAACAAACCAACTTTTAAGTATTTCAAATTACCCATTCAAAATAGTATATGAATACTTTATTCTTTATTATAGAAGCTAGTAAATGACCAGCCTGTGCGTTATAAGTAGATACGGATGTTAAGGTCGGTAACAAACATATTAATGGTATATAAATTCTCCCGCGTGAAGCGGATTGCGGAAACCCGTCTGGCTACGCTGAATGTATGTGGAGGAATGAATGATAAGATGGATGAAGTATGCGAAATGATGAATGACGGAGGAATAGATGTGTTATGTGTGAATTGAGACGAAACGAAAGGGAAAGGATGCCACTGCACATGACACGTATACCGCGTATTGGTCTGGCGTAGACGAGACCGAACGGGCATGCCAGGGAGTCGGTTTCATCCTTTCAGAAAGAATGGGTCAATGTGTGAAAGAGTATGAATGTGTAAGCCCGAGGCTGCTATGGATACGAATTAAGGTGGGCTTAAAGA